TATTCGAGGAACGAAAAAGAAAATGAAAAAGAGAACAAAGAGAGACGACGACGACGGGTTACCAGGTGCAATTTTCGCAACCTTATTTCTTACGGGCGGTACACGTTTTAAATTGGCAGCTCGGCGGGGAAGGTTGAATTTAATTTCGCTGGGTTTGTATTATACGGAGCGACAAGTGAGCTCGGCCGGCACACGCTCTCTATCTCGTGCGTGCGTACGTGCGCCCGCGCGCATGCATAACAATGTCAGGGAAACAGAGTATACAGACGATGAACGTTAATCATATCTCGCGAACGATCTGAATATTTTCACGGTTACTTTGAACCGGTAATGGCCGGCTATTGACAGCGAGATGCGGCGAGGTCAGCGGCGCACGTTAATCGGGGACCTCTTTTTGACGTGTATAATTTCCCCGATAAGTAGAAACGTGCTCGATAAGCAGGCTCAATCGAAAATAAAAGCAAACGGTGTCTAGACCGCGGTTTACCGGGAATCGGGTTTCTTTTTCTTCCTCTTCGAGTCGGTGCGCGATTACGATGCTGCCAACGCGACCGTTTTGCGTCAAACAACAGCGGAACGGTCGTTTTATTGCGATAAGTTCCGTGAACCCCACCCTTCCTGTACTCCACATTTACTGAAATCGTTTCATCGCGGTAATAACAATATTTATGAACCGGTGATACCCTTTCTTCGAGATAAATAAGGCGATTGAAAAATAAATAGCGCGAGCTCTGATGAAATATAGTATAAAGGACTATTGATTTACGTAGTTGAGAGTCACTGACATAGTCTGCTGCTCGGAAGAGACTCGAGGTACATCAACAGGTTCGATAATTGAGTTCTGGATTCTAATGATTCTTAATTTATACGTAGAATACTGATTTTAGATACAGTAATCGCTCGTTTAACACGGTATTCACGTAATGTAGTTTCGGTATAACGCGATTTACAAATTCTTTTAAACTTACGAATTTATATTAGGGGAATTACATTGTAGCACATAGATGTATGTATTAATATTGTAGGCTGAGCCGTTAGGCGCGTTTTTGTAATTAAAAATGAAAAAGGCTTCAGATTTTATTCCCGTAATTACATTGTTACTTTTTTCTTTAATTCTTGATGGATTACTGGATAGATTAAATTAGTTCGTTCAGTTTTTATAAGTTAATAATATTCAAATAGACGAAACGTAATAAACAATAATTTTGTTTCGAAAGTTAAACTGTAATTATAGTACGCGAAATACGTTAAGAGCGTGTATTTAAAAGTCAATACCGTTCCACCGATACATTTCTAAAACGATTTCATTGCTGTGGCCTCTCAAACGTCGTATACCACACAGATCAAATATTAACCAACTCTATCCTCATCTTACACGTTTATTATTTCGGTTACCTATCGCGCGAAAATGAAACGAACACGAAGAAAAACTACTTGCTAAATGCAAAATTAGTAATCTATATTCAAATTTCATTCACACCACATACAATTGGCACAAGAAGGTTAAAAATACCGAAGCAATGCCACAATTTATTCGACGCTGAACGAACAGCGTAGTATCCGGCGGACACGGGCTTGAGCTCATCGCGGTGAGGCTGAATCCGTTGCACCGGTGGAAAGAGTTCAAATCAGGTTCGTCGCTTTAAGAGATTTTGGTGTTGCAACGGTAGAGTACGCATACTGATAAATACCGGTGATGATCATTTCTGATATTTTTATTTTTGTAGAGAATCGGTGCCAGTCATTGCTGTCAAGCATCCACGTGTGTCATCGAAAGAAGAAGCGATGGAAGGGGAGAAAGACTGCGCGCGTGAGGATGTGGGCGAAGAGAGGAGGAGGATGAGGAGAAGTGGATGACGATCAAGCGAGAAAGAAAAAGAAATAAAAGCACTTACCGGGTGCCGTGCCGCAGCTGCCACAGCCACAGCTGCCGCCGCGTTTATACCGGCACTGGGGTACATCTTATCGTCAGAGCCCTTCGAAGAGGTTATGTTGGCTCCCTCCAGTCACGACGAAGTCCTGTCAGGAGTAATGGATATGTCCTCCGTTATCCTCAGGTATATCCAACAGTATCCCAGGTCATAGCCAGTATCCACTATTATTCACTGGTCCCAAGGAAAGAACAACAAGAAAAAAACCGTACGATCGTCGAGAAACGAGAAAAGGGAGGGGGCCTGATGGGGAGAGGTTAGGTTCTCGAGCGACGAAAAGAGAAAAAGCAAAAACACAGTGGGTACGCGACGGTACAGTCGTCGGCGCGCACACACACTTCGCGCACTGGTCACTTTTTCTTCTTCGATAGTCGTTCGATGCACAGTTTCGTGGGATCGTTTCACAAAGATCCCGTTGAAAAAAATGAAAAACTAGTGATACCGGGAGGAGAAACAACGCACATACGGTTCACAGAGTACGACGAGAATGCTGGACTATGTTCAGAAACATAGGGTGTACACACAACGATACGAATACGCTACGTGAAAGCACGTAAGAAAAGACGCAGCTCAAACGAACCACCCTCGACAACGGACGGGTATCAACTAATCACCGCAGAGTCGAGGGGAAGCTCTTCCCTCTCCTTCCCCCGCAGCATCGCTTGCTACGCCCTCCCACTGCTCGCTGCGACACCACGTGGTCTCCCCTCGCTCGATCGGTTGAGCCTCGTCACTCTACAGCGTCTCTCTTGTCTCGCTCCCTCCCGCCTGCCTAGGTCTCGCTCCGTCTCATTTTATAACGTTGCGGAACACACCACCGACAATCGGGGCTCTTAGCTCGTTCGTCTCTTCTCCGTCCTCGCCGCATGTATATGCGAACTGCTAGTACCCTAGTGCTTATACGTTTCAGCGAGACTGGGAATCCGTTCTCGTTGCGATCCGCTTTGCATTTTTTTCTTTCCTTCTCTTCTTCCTTCCTTCCTTCCTTCCTTCCTTCCTTCCTTCC